ATGTGGTGTTTCCAAGTTCAAGTGGTGTTACACCAAAGGCCAACAGGTACAGTAGTCTTCTAGATCATCAATATGAACCATAGCGGTCCTAAGGGTAGAAGGAAAAAGAGAGAGGGGAGTGGGGAATCATATAACCAATTGTCCAGAAACATGCTTGAAGATTTCGAGGCATTTAGCTGTAAAAACTAGTCCAAAGCTTGTAAATAAAACTTACTGCTTATGAGCCAACCATACCAAAAACAAGCATGTTTCTGGACATCAAGATATGTACTAGGCTCTAGGACCCTGATTTTAAAACTGTGTTTCAGATTCTTCTGTTTAAGATACATAGGAAAAAGGCATGTTGAAATGCAAATGGCCAGCCTCTAGCATTATTACTATTTTCAGTGATGTTTTGGATCCTTATAGGGTCTTGTCTTGATGTCTGTACTATGTTTGGATTAGCGTTAAAATTTGCAAGTTCAAAGTGATCATGAAAAATAATATTTCTTAAAGTGGACTAATCAACTAGTTGCCTTGGAAGTACTTAAATTAGTGCTTTTATACCCCATTTAGTAGAAGTAAATAATGTCCATGAGCATCAAGTTGTGTACTTGGCTCCAGGACCCTGATTTTAAAACTGTCTTTCAGATTCTTCTGTTTAAAAGATATATAGGAAAAAGGCATGTTGAAATGTAAATGGCCAGCCTTTAGCATTATTACTATTTTCATATGAGTTTATTTAGATATTACATATGTTGTTCATATAAGCACATTTAATCATCCATTTAAACGTTTTCCTAAAATTTAATAGTAAATAGATGGTAAAGAAGGCTGTGTGTTGCAGTGGTTAGACACTGGACTAGTACTGAGGAGACTCAAATTCTAATTTATCCACCACCACAGAAACTCATTGGGGGATTATGGGCCAATCATTCTCTTTCAACCTGGCTTACTACTTGCTTATGCTGTAACAAAATAAAATAAGGAAAAAAGAGTCCAATGTACATCATCTTGGTCAAGATAGTATATAAGTATAACAACTTTCCCCTCAGTTCTCACCTGCAGCGAATTCATTACACCGTTGGCCAGGACAGCCATCTTGCCAGCAACCGACTTTACTCCCTGCTTGAACTGAGCAATGTCAGCTGCAGGTAGTACATTTCCAATGGATACACTACCTGCAAGGAAGACAAAATATAAATATGAAGCCGGATAGAGCTTTGCTAAATAAAGAAGCTACGCTTATGAGAGAGAACTTAACTGCTTGAATTCACACATTTTAATAAGGCTTACTCTACTCACTGCTCTGTACCAAACTCCTCTATATGGAACTGAGGGCAACAAAGCCATGGTGTTGACTCATGAATTATCACAGCACACTTCCAAATGAATAATCCTTTTGGACATACCCACATTTGCTGTTTCAGATTCTCCGAAAAGATCAACAGAACTAATGGCATTGCTTCCTGAGAGCTGCTGGAGTCGGGATCTGGCCTCATACTGGTAGAAATAAAAAAAGATTTTTAAAAATAATGGAAATAAAATTATTTTAAAAAATAAGGGGAGGGGAAGCTAATATTGATCAGGAACATTGCTATTTACAATGGATGGAAATAGGCATCTCTATGGGCAGAGAAATCATAGAAAACCTACCTCAGCATCAACTTCTCGCCCAAAGAACATGTCAGATGAGATGGCTTTGGCACCTGCAAACTTCTGCTGAGCTTCGTTAGACTCTACTACTGATACCTTGCTCTCTGTTTCTCTTCTGTTGGTTGGTCTGAGTAGAAGAGAAAAGCACTGAAATCTTTCACTGACTACTCCCCATTCACACAGCTCTACATTAGAGCAAAGGACTGTATTCCCCTTTCTTTACCTGTCACCAATGGGCCGGATGCTTGAC